GTGCAGAAAAACTTCGGTTGTGCAGTAGCTCATAATGAGACCATCCAAGAGACATGAGAAAAGAGCCCAGGAAAGGGAGTAGCACCAGATTTCCTAGACTAGGTGAATTCGTAGTGATTGTAGAAGTAGCAATGAATACAGAGAGTGGTTGCTGGGTCGTGATACAGCCTCGCAGACGCATGTGCAGACCTTTCTCGTGCCTGGATCTCAAACCTTTCTTCCTGCGCAGTGCAGTGGTGGAATTTGGGACCATTTAGTAGCCGCGTGTGGCAGGCATTGGAATTCACATTTTGTAACTGCCACCACCGTCGTCCTCACCATTGTCACCATCACTAGCAGCAAATTTTGCATATCACTAGCATCATCAGCTTTACCACCGACATCAGCACCACCACCGTCATCACAATGGTGAAAATCACCACCATCACAATCACACTCATATTCAACACTGGCGTGGGAGTGCGACAGCACGAGCACCATCCTTTCGCGTTTTTCTCGGCAACTGTCATCCATGATCACCTTAATTGCCATTGCCATGGGCATCAGTCTGACCTATGATGGGAGAGGTGATTTCCATCCTCGCCTATCTTTGTGTGTGCCTATATTTGCCATTTGTGAGCAATACCATGGTTACCTTGAGCATATCAAATAGGGTGTCGTGGTTCGTGTTTAACATACTTGTATTGTGAGCAGCAGCATTAAAAGCCCTAGCAACAAGACATCTATTTTGCAGCATCTTAGACCTCTTCCCACTGGGCAGCTGCATCTGGCAGGCATCAAGTTCACGCGTGTCGCAGCCACCACCGTCATCCTCACCAGTATCATCATTGGCATCATCTTCCGCATAGCATCGTCTCAACATTAGCTTCGCCGCCGCCACCACTGTTATGACCATCATGGAAATCATCGGCCATCATCATAGCCACAATCTTACAACATTATTTGCTGCCATTCTGCTCTCAGAACCTGTCGTCCATGATCTCCTCCATGGCCATGGACAGCAGCATGATCTGTTGTGGCATGTGTGTTCTATCCTTTCCTACTCTGGCTGGCTGCCGCATCTTCTATTTGTGCTCATGACCCACCTGTAGCGCCACCCCAATGTTTCATGTATTTGTCTTGATCAGATTGTGTTAGCACCGCTTTGCATGAGCATCCTGCTTGGAGGATCCATCATGCAGCATCTTTGGCCTCCTCTCCACATTGATTACCTGCATCTAGCAGGCATCCAGCTCACATGGGTCACTGCCACCACAGTCATCCTCTTCATGATCAGCATCATCGGCATCATCTTCATCATCAGCATCGTCATCCTCGTCATCACCGTTATCACCATCATCCTCATCATGATCAGCTTCAACACCACCGCCACCACCAGCACCATCGCCACCCCCACCCCCATCACCACCACCCCCACCACCACCCCCACCGCCACCGCCACCGCCACCGCCACCACCACCACCACCACCACCACCACCGTCGAAGTCATACAGAACATCATAGAAAACATCATCATTGTCATCACCAAAACTATCATCATTTGATCTTCCTGCATGTCGTGACTTACACTAGCACAAACGTCATGAAAACATCGCTATCGGGCTGCCACATACTGCGACAGTATCAACATCATCCGCCGCCGTTTTCTGTCTGGTGTCAATCCCCTTCCCTCCATGATAACTTCCATTGCCATTGGCATGAGCCTGACCTATGATGGAAGAGGTGTGTTCCACCGCCTCTGTTAGTTGGCTACCTAAATCTGCCATTTGTGAGCATTACCATGGTTGCGTTGAGCACCAGCCTGATTAGTCATTTGGGTCTAGTGGTATCAGCATGTCCCGGTTATCCTTTGCATGAACACCCTGCTTGAACCATCTATCATACACGGTCTTTGAACACCTCCTCGTTCAGAGGCTGCGTCTAGCATACATCAAAAGCACACTCCGCCTTGTCACCATCGTTCGTCATCATGCTCGTCCTCACCGTCATCATCTCCTCGCCGTTAGCTCCCCAATCATCATCAACTTCATCATCAGCAGCATCGACATCCTCCCCTTCATTTTCGTGAACACGAGCATGTTCTCGCGCATGCGTCATTAACACATTGCCATTCGCATCATCCCCCTCATGTTTCCATCCCGTGTCAATCTCTTCTGTCCTCAGGACCTACTATGGATCATCACCTCAATTGCTGTTGCTAATCAATCACCTTGATCTCTAATTTGCCATTGGTCACGTATCGTTGCCTATGCGGGCTGTCTGCTTACGAGTTTTTCGCGTCATTCATCATCTGTCGCGTGTCGTTGTTGTTCGCCACTTTGCCCCTAGCAGCTGCCAGCTTTTCTCCTGGCGATGACGCTACAGCATTTGCCTCTGCATGTACTCGACCCCTCAGCTGTTGTTTGCACAACACTCATTGCCACCAAATTCGTCACACCTGACATCGTATACTGCCGGGTCCATTTTCCCCGTCCTGTCATCATCGCCAACATGCTCACGGCGCTCACTTGCTGCCCTTGGGATTGTTTCAGCTGCCAGCACCACTCCTGATTAGTGTGAACTCACCTTTTAGCATGGTCGTTTGTATGATGTCTATGGTCAGCATCAGGAGGATCTGAAAGCAGCATTTTGGGTCGGAATAGCGTAGACCGCCTGCAAGAACCCAACGTGCAAATACAAGCAATGTCCAGCTATGTAGACCCTGGCTGAAACTGACCACCTGCCTTCATGAGCATGATGGTCGCAAGTCTCCTGGTGAGAGGGGGCTGTTGCACTCAGCATTGTGATCTTAATTTTCATGCTCCGCATCCGTGTCTTTATCATTGTTGTCTTCTGTTTTGATTTTTTGTTTGAGATCGTCCTTTTGCTGTGTATCTTTCTCGGCAATCCTCGCATTCCCATTCTTACTCACTCCTGGCTCATGAAAAATTTCATTGGTCAGGTGCTGCTCAAGTTTTGCAGCGGAACTTTTTCAGAACCGGAGGCCAAGAGCTCTCCTGTGCTTGCGTGACTGGCGTAGGGTGTCCATTGGTTTTTGAAGTTCTTTCAATCCGAGCAGCTTCCCATGCTCTGCACTATAGCTGGCTTGTCATAGGCCCTCCATGACCTCCCCCGAACCTGCCATGAAGCCTGGGACCATGGCCTGCTCGGTGAAGCTGACGTCTGAACCCACTCCCAAACTTCAATTTTGCAAGCTAAAGTGCCACCAACCCTCTCTTGCCGACCAATCACACAACATTGAAACTGTGGGATGGATCTCGCTTGGAATTCCTCTTGCCCAGCGTCCAGCCGCGCAAATTTTTTGAAGGATTGCGTCATAGCCCCCGCATGTTCTCTCAAATTGCGAGTTGGTTAAAATGATTGTTGGGGCATGGAACTTCAAGCTGGCATTGCCCAAATCGCCTCCTTCCATGAAAGTCCCTCAAGGACTAGCATAAACACTTAGCCTGGGAATCTCCTATTAACACAGCCTAGGGCTCCGCGATGCCCCCAAGCCCTGGAAAATCATGCTGTGTTGCACTACCTTTTTTCACGGGAGATGGGTAGAAAATGGAGACCCAACAATACTGATGGTAATGATTACAGTGCTTCCATGCCAGCATCATCCAACTGGCGCGTATCTCCCAGTTTGGTACGTACTCTAAGCCACTTGCTCCCTTTAATTGCAGGAGTGTCTTGCAGCCTGGGTCCCTCTTTCTCCTGAGGCAATGTGCTATGCTCTGGAAGCTTCCCAGGCTTGCTTTAGCAAGCAAGTTGGCTTTCAGCCATTCCGACGTGGCTGAACAGAGAACCTTCATTGTTGCATTTGCTGGGTGGCTGGCCTGTCGATGCAAGGGATACCCCGTGATCTTGTCCAAAGATCCGCTCGAGCCATCCTTGCTTTGGGTTCGCAGCCTCAGCCTCTTGACCAGTCTGCCGACCTGCATGATTGCGCTCCCTTGGTGCCGCTTAACCTCTGATGTTCGTAGATGCGCCACCCCAGCACAGAAGAAGATATACTGAAGGGGCAGGAGTTCGGCAGTCCTGCTTGCGATAGCATCAGGCAAGGCGTCGACAGTTGAAGGACTCGATATGCTTGGTGACGAGCACAACCCCGAACCGATGAAACCTGAAGCCAGATACACGACAGGACTTCGAGGCCAATGGACAACTCGCCAAGCGACTCCCCACGCGAACTCACCTGTGTTGTTTTTTGTTCAGCTGGCTGGTTGTGCCCGCGTGCTTGTTGAGTCAAAGTAGGCGTAGGCCTCTCAAAAGCTTGAGCAAGTATCACCATAGCACTCCCTAAGTATTTCTCTTCCCAAACGCTTGTCGCTGTAGCTTCATTTGTTTTCGTGACTTTATGAAAGTCTTTGAAGTTTTCGGCTCACTGGCTCACAACAGCTGGCCAAGGAAGCTGAGGCAATGCACGAGGATGACTCAAAAATTGGCAAGAACATGTACCTCACGCATGACCCTCACTCTGACAAGTTCCTTGACTCTTCCTGCCACAGATGTGATGCCCGCGAAGCTTGATCCTGGTGTCATGCAGTGGACTGCCTAGGAATCATCACTGAAAGAGCGACAGCAACAATCACCACCACCACAATTACTACGATCAGTCCCAGAATGATGATCATTACCATTTGTTCAATCTGTTCCGCGGAAGGGGGTGAGTTTTCGTGCGTTGTCGTAGAGAGGGGGTAGGGTCTCGGGGGCAGACAGGATTTCAGTATTCCTGGTTCGACTGGTTGTTTGCCCGCTGCAGCCGAAACAAGCATAGATAGCACAGCGGTCGCGGTCGTTGCCGCAGAGCCAAACAGCAACTGTCATGCACAAATACCTCAAAAAATATCACAACTGCAAGCAAGAACCATAGACGAAAACGCAAGCTGCTACCAATGGTCTTACGCCTGCAACCGCTACCATCGGCACAAAGTCCCCACCATCATCGCAAGCAGCTACAAGCACTATCCTGAGCCATTAGCTGCATTTGTAAGATTTGGTAGCTGGTGCACCAGATGGACAAGAAGGCATTCGAGCAGCATCTTGATGCCTCCTGGCAAACCTTCCGGCAGCAGCTGGTGGACGTTTACTCTGCGTCGCTTTTAGAAAGCCCTCTGCTTCAGCCAAATGTGTTGCAGGAGGTTTCAGCCTCCGAAGTGCCGGACCTGGAAGAACACTCAGAAAAAGTAGTGGAGGAGGAAAAGAAGGAGCAGGATCAGACGCTGGAGAGCGAGCACGAGGAATTCCTGGGGTCGCAGCACCCCTTGCTCAGGAATGGATTGACGAATCTTGGGAAGCGGGAGGCAGAATCAGTGAAGAATCGGCTGCGATTAAGGCTCGGTATCTTGTCTCAAAGACACTGAGCCGCTTCAGTTGCAGAATTTACGTCTTCCTTGCGTCAGTTTAGTTCAGAAACAGATCCAGCTTCATTTTTTGGCAAGTTCTGGATGTTGATATGCGTTCAGTAACCCGCTTAAACCCACGAACAAGAAAGGACAGTTGATCTCTGGGAGCTGCCTCCTGGATGCGGTGGCAGCTCTGGGCCTTACTAGATATACCGAGGAGGACAGGGTCTAATTCATTCAAGTGGAGTTTGAGTTACCTTAGAGTAGAATAAGGTAGGAGCAGTTTTGGGAGTAGTATACTCTGAGGAGATGGTATTAGAGAAGCCGACTTGAACAGAAGCACCAGTTGCTGTGGAATTTCTCGAATCACATGAAAAAATTAGATGGAGGCTGGGATTTACATAGGTGCCTAGTCCATTAGATAGGTCTTGGGACATGCCATATGTCATGGTTCCCCAAAAGAGAGAAAACACCACAAGTCCTTGTATGCGGAAAATGTGAATTGGCTGAGGTATCTGCCGAGCTCGAAATCATGCTCTGGACATGTGTTTTGAAGGGCCTCCTCACAATTCGAGCTCGACACGCCACCGTCCATGCGTGCGTGTTGGTTTTACGTGCGGCGCTATGATTCAGAATTGCGCCTTCACGCAGGGTGGCGCTCCGGTTTCATTCGAATACCGGCTCCTAGGAGGATCCGCGCATTTTGACTCGAAAACCGCGTTCGCTCCTTCGCATTTGGCTGTGCTCCTGCGTGATGCGTAGTGATCTTGGAGTTGCTTTTGGGGCGCTCTTGGCGTCCGTCACAATGCAATCTTCAAGGGATTATCTTACTTTTTCAACTGGATAAGCTCCTAAAATAATTCAAACCTTAGAGCACCACTATACCCATCTTAAACGGACCCTCTGCAACGTTACGAGCCCACGCATGGAGCAATTTCATGTTGACGGAGATAATCGACAGTCTGGCTTTGCGAATTTGAAGGCTACGAAGGTAATCCTGTATTACCTTATTTTCGGATGTTTCTCTTACAAGATGATCAGACATACACTTGAGATTCTAGTGTGCTGCTAGATCGGAGGAAACTAGGCAAAATTTCATTTGGGATGTTTCTAGGCGCTAGGGCTCCTAGGGGATGGGATTGCTATCGTGTTTTTCCGCTCTTTGGCCTGGCTTTTGGGAAGATGATTGAAAAATAATTTCCCTCGTCTGCGAGGAGATGAATGACTTTGTGAACCTCCTCGGCGAGCAACTTGCCGGGAAACCTGCGCAAACATCAATGCCAGCAACCAAAGCTTAATTAAACTCTTGACTTAGACGTTACATGAAAAGCTTCCCAAATCTGGAAAGCTGATACCCGAAGCCCCGGACCTCACATCTGAAAGATTCTTGCACCCCACAATGCAAACCCTAAAGTCTAACTTGGAGGTTCATCAGCCTTCAGTTCGTTGAAACGCGACGAAGCCAGAGCTCAGTCAATTCCCTGAACTCCTGGTGGCCAGCCTGTATCCTTACTTCAAAGCTTTTGCGGGGGTTCAGGTTTTGGTGCTTTATGTTCAAAAGACTGTCTCCATTGAGCACATTGGGCTGAGAATCCCCAACGATGCCATACTTGTGGGCGACATGGCTCAAACCCCTGCTAGGTTCCGCTTGCAGGGGGACTCGGTGAACAAGGATTTCTCCATGGGGAAACCAGTTTGGCACTGGCCACTGGAGGAAAGCCCAAGACACAGCCCAAGACATGACTCCAACAAGGACTGGCTCAGAAAGCGTGCTCCCAAGTACAACTGTGTGCCGGCTATGCCTTTGCTGGAAATCCTCATGTCACAAGAGACGGAGGTGCTGAAGTTCAGGGTTTGGGGTGCCAGGGACCAACAAGCATCCAGCTGCATTCTTCCAACATGAGGATTGCCCAAGACAAGCCCGAACTATCAATACTCTTTGCAGTTTTATCCTGGACGCCAAAGGCGTAAATTTGGAACCCTAGCCCTGAAAACAGACACAAGTCCTATTCCCCTTGGCACAGGTGCACAAGTTGATCTTTGGTCCCATGCTCAACCAGCACCTTGGCCCGTATGACTACATCTTGCACTGCACTGCCTGGGGATGGATTAGCCCTTTGGTGTTGTTCCAGATTTTGCCGAATTGGAAGACAGCGTGTCAGGTACAAGGCCATAAGGGAGATTTTGGTGGCGGGTGACACCAACCGCCTTGTGGCAGAGCTGACTTTTGCACCGGTGAGTTCAGATAGTAACATTTGAATATTTTGGTTCTCTGGAGTAGGCTTTCCTTAGCCACAAGTTTCCTTTTACAACGCCGGACGAGTGAGGTACGCATCAACGACCTGGCAGCACCCCCGGAGCCAATGTGCTTGGGCTGCGTTCAGAGAACGTATGCAGGTGTTTCATGACAGGTTTTTGAGGATTTGCATACACACCAGTTGACGTGGTGTTTCAGGATGCGTTGGTCCTTCTCCGGTCCTCAGCTTGCTATTTAATTTCCAATTTGGGGAATCCAAATGAAACTGGAGAAGAACAGCGGGCGACCAAGTGAAGCAGCGCAATAGGGAAGAAGACACAACTCGGAAGAGGAATGAAATTCACCCTTCAAGTTGCATAGCGATTATGTAGGGGTTGTTTCAATAAGCACTCAGATCATCAAATACAAATCCGGAAGGCAGGAACTGATAGCAGTGGAGGTGCACAGAGGTGCAAGCAAACAGGGAGCCAAATCAGCACTTCTTACTTCTTAACGTTAACAGTGGCAGAGCTGGAACTTAGGAGTTCATCAAAGAAGCTAGACGGGTCCATGATAGAGCCATGTTTGGCGAGCTAGATTGCCAAAACATCTTTCCATGGTCCTCCTGATGACGATGATTTAGAATTTATAGAATTTATCAGCACAGTCGAGTTCAGCTCATCATCGTGATCCTTTTCCAGGAGTGCGTTTGCGGTCATCAGAATCCTTACATACCTCACCTTGAAGAAGGCTTTCGTGGCCCTCAAGGGTCTGTCTCTTTTCTCATTCTGCATATTACTGCAATCCTAACAGCAAAAAAACAGCATGTGTAATAGTCATGCTGCCATTCAGCGTTTGGCAGAATTCTGCCAAGCGGGCTCCTGAATGGCAGAATTCTGCCACGCGGATGCCGTTTTTTCGGAGAAATTAGAAAAAGAATAAGAAAACAAAGATGCAGGTGAGTGGATGCAGCCGAGTTGCTCTGGCCGATAACTAGTTTGTTTGGCGCTCTTGCTGCCATCGCGTTTGCCATTCTTCCTCAGTTTCCCGTTTTCGTAGCATCGAAATCATTAAATTTCCATTTCTACCACTCACACGCACACTTGCGCATTCACACACGGCAACATCAGGTTTTCTGTGCGTAGGCCGACGCTGTCATCAAGCCCATCTCGCTTGGCGGTCAAACAGAGGTTCGTTAGAATCACAACCTTCATGCATTCGCTGTTGTTATTACCCTGCATTCTCAGGCACTGATGACAAAAAAACATTCCGCTGATTTTGAAAGCAGCCCGATTGCCGGTCAATATTCCAATTCACCATCTGAAAATCAACATTTCCAGCCAGTGTGTTGCTCGCACCGGCCTCGGTCCAAATTGGTGCGCATATGGAATGAACCATCACAGAAACTATCTCGGATAGGCGCGCTCTTCTTCCTGTAGCTTGGGTTTGTTTTAGACTGACATGCAGCGACAAACCGTTGCACAGCACTGTCATTATCTTTCGAGTTTCCGGCATTTGTTGCCATCTGCTTTGCCTCTTGACATATTATCCAACTCATGGCTGCGATCTTGCGTAAAGACCACATGTGCTGAACAGGCCAGGCAGCATGGTTTGAAGCGCTTCATGCGCCGGCGCATGCACCAGCGTGCACTGGTAGCTCAATTTCCTGTGTAATCAGAGGAGTGGCACCGTCTGAGCATGTAGCTGGAGGTTTTGGAGTGAATTTCCATCATGCATGCTGGATTGCTTCGTGCTGGCATGGTATGACACAGCTGTCAAAGCAAGCGACCGCCTGAGGAGTTGGCATTAGGCCTGCCACCCTTTGCACCAGGCACGGTTCCAGCAATGCTGGCATCATTTGTCTTCGGCTGCAGTCATGAAATCTGCGAAAAAGTCAGAGGGCTGCGCTTAATTTTTGATGCTGGAATTCACGCCAACAGCCAGAACTCATGAGCAGAACCCGACTCAGCATTGCAGCGGACGGATCGCGCATTTCGTCCGGAGAAGCTGCCACCGCCGAACGCAAGCCAACAAGCCAAGCCACAAATTCCAAAAACTACGTATGGCCTCCGTTGTAATTCGCGATTCCTTCGCAACCTGAGTGTGCAGCAGTGACAGCAGAAATCCAAGAAGGCATCAGTCATTGACAGGGCCCATGCCGTACCAGCATTATGCAGCGGCGCTTTAGCTGTGTTCCAGCTCAAATGTGGCAGGGTTTTCATGACATGGCATGTGCGCTGAAGAAGGCAGCATGCATTTCAAGGCAGGCAAGGCAGCAGCGAAAGAAGGCAGACCATCTTTCCTCCTCCAGTTTGAACTCGTCATTCTTTCTTCGCGAACAGGCTGCGGGCAGGCACTGAAGCAAAACGCTTTCAAATCCTGAGTGAGTGAGAGAGCGAGATGGCATGGGAATTCTGGATGGCAAGCTGAAGCAAACAAGTTGCGGACCCAGCTTCCATTTTTGGGGCACGGGGCTTGCTCAGAAGCAGCCTGACCGCTGCGTACTCTTGTACTTTTGATAACTGCAGCAACCATGGTGCCAGACATGAACGGCAGGTTGGTCCCGTCCGCTTTCCAAGGTTTTGCAGCAGTTCCCGCTTTAGGTATGATCAGGAGCCGTATTTCTGAAGCAGGCAGTGGACTAGTGTGTTCTGGGTTTGTCGATAGCGCTGAGATGTTGTTGCTTCATTTTCCAGCCTTCTCCGCGTTGGCACTACACATCTCTTACAGAAGCCTAGAAGCGGTTATTCCCGCTTGCATGGCTCTCCGTTTTGCATCATCCGCCCCTGCGGAGTGACTCTGTCTCGTGCTTTCTCCCAACAGTCAGTTTCGGGGCCTTGGCGGCGGCTGCTGCTGCTGCTTTGACCCACTCAGCCTGCACGCCTCAAACCATGGGCCGGGCAAGGGCAGTGACACATCAGAGATATTTCTTGAGGAGCCACATCAGTCATCACACTGTGGTGACACAGGTGTGACTGATGATGCCAAGTCAGTGTCTTACTAGCTAGCATGCACTCCATCAGGACTCAACCACTGAATATCCCCCCGTGGTCAAGATGAAACACTCATGCACACATTCTGTATGCTTGCCACGTGCATGGTGTGCGTGTCTGACTCCCTCTCTTGACTGCCTGGTCATTTAGGGGTTCCTGAAAACGGATGATAAAGGGATCTTTCGGTACATAGGATACATAGCGGTTTAGGTTTTTGGGTGCGGGATCTTGTATTCTGAGTTTAAGATGTACGTGGGGCTCTAGGCCAGGATGCCCAGGATTTGAGGATTAGGATTGCTGGGTGAGGCAGACATTCCTTTGTTGCAGTAGCCCAGATTTTGTGAGGGACTATCTCAAATTGCTACTAACTAACGCCCCTGGCCTGGGCTGGGTTGAGCGGGCCCGTGGCAATAGTCACTTTCTGAAGACCACAACGCCCACACCTCCACCTAGACGCAAGATCCGCACAAGTCAGCTGGATTGCACCATGATGCCCAAAACTCATGAGGGATCACACATTGATGCGTAAATCTCTTAAGTGATTACACCGTGACGTCTACAACTCCTGAGCGATCACACCGATCGAACCGTGACGCCAAAGCGCATTGAGGAAGCAAACCAAGACGCTCAAAACCTGTGAAATCACGCCGTACCAAAACTCTTGACGCGTCGGAGAAAACACAAGGTGACGCCCGGAACTCTTGATGGCACACACCGTGAGGACCAAATTTCCCCAAATTCTTGAGGGATCACACCGCTGCAGCTCAATTTCCTAAAGGACCACACCTTGATGCCGGTAATCGTTGGGCCCTTTGTATCTTGACCGACGCCCAAACTTTATGACGGATCACATCATGACGCCTAAGACTAGGCAGAAATCACGTCTGACCTCCTAAACTCTTGAGGGGTCACACCGCGGCGCCACAAATTCTTGAGTGATCACATTATGACGCCCGAAACTCTTGTGGGATCACCTACACACCGAAGACCCTTGAGGGATAACACCGTCACGATCAAAACCCTTGAAGGATCGCACCATGATGCCTAAGATTCTTGGGGGATTGCACTGTGAGGCCCAAAACTCTTGAGGCATCAGCCGCCAAACACGTTTCAGGAATCACACCGTGACGCCCAAACCCTGGAGAAACACAACGTGATGACATGAATTCTCGATGGATTACGACGTGACGCCAACTCGGAAGGGATCACACCGTGACACCCAAAACCCGCGAAGGATCACCCCGTGAAGCCTAAAATTCTTGAGGGGTCACAGCGTGACACACCGCGATGCCCAAAACCCTTGAGAGATCATCCCACCATGAAGCTGGAAACTCTTGAGAGAAACGTGACTCGCGATTCTTGAGGGACCACGCCGTGATGCCCAAGAGTTCTGAAGGATCACACCATGGTGCTTCAGGCTCGTGAGGGATCACCATGACACAGAAAACTCTTGCGGACACCATGACGCCCAAAGATTTGGAGGGATCACACGGTGACGCCAAAAAGTTCTTGAGGGATCAGAGTGGGACGCCTTTGATGGATCACATTGTGATGCCCAAAAGTGTTGACGGATAACGTCATTGGGCTTAAGGTTCTTGCCGGCTCAGACTGCCCAAAACTTAGCAAATCACACTGTGAAGCGCAGAACTACTGAGGGATCAACTGGAATTCCAATTCCGATGCAGCATGCGCAGCGTAAGTCTGCTTTTCAATCATCCTATTCAATACTTTCCGCGTTCATGTGTCAAAGGCATGCTCACGCAAGTGTTCAGGAAGAGCATTCAGCAAGTCTGTCACAAGTGCTTGTGCGAACCTTCTGACATGTGCAATGCGAGGGCCAGGCACCCTCAACAGGGCAACGTAAATCCTGTGGTCTGTCGGGTGACAACCTTTGTGAGCAGCTTGTGGCACACACTCTAGCGAGGCAAGTGCTGATTCGCTGAACCTAAGACAGGACCAAATAACATAATCAAACATGCACGAAAAATGAATGAACCTTTTTTATTACACAGGTACGCCAGACACTAGGAATGACATACCTGCAACACAAAATGAGATGTGTACGTTGGGGTAAGGGTAGGACCCGCAGAGCCAGACACTGGGAATGGTACAGCATGAAAAAAATGAAGGTGAACGAAATGATGCCCCCCAAGCTATTCCCGCAGGAATCCATGAGCAGGCAAAAGCTTCCACCTTCTGCTAGGGTCTTGTTTCGAGATAGTTTTGTTTTCGCATCTGTGGGCGACTCGGTCAGCAGTGCCGCGTGTCCGCGGGAGCCCTTTCTCTGACCTTTTCTTCTTCCATCTGCCACAATGGTGGTGGATCTTTTCGCATGGTCTTGCCTTTATTCCCGGTGAGAGTAGGAAAGCCAAGGCTGCTGCTGTGAGCCTAATTAAACGACAGTAGAGAATCTTCAGGGAAGGAGGAGGGGACTGGGGAGCTTCTTTGGACAGAGCTCCCCACCCCTGTTCTGTCCACTGCTCCTAAGACCTTCTGCTGTCATCTAGTTTCTGGCTGTAGCAGCGCTTGCTGTCATGGCAAGTTCTTGTGGTAGCCGCCTTTTTGGGTCCCTGAGAGCATGCGCTGCATTCCCAGGCATCCCATCATGTACCTCGAGCCCTTCGTGGCCATCGTTATACTTGCCAATGGCATCGTGACCGGCTTTCAGACAGACCCGCTATACAGGAGTCCAAGAGAAATCTTTTTTTAGGGTTTAAGGTCGGTGATGTGGAGTAAAGATGAGCTTGCCCAATGACCATTTCAAAGAGTGAAGGGGCTCCTTTGACAGGGACTGGCCCGGCTGGATCTACGTGGAATTGGCGTTTGCCTTTTTCCTGCTGTCAGAATCCTGGCTTGTCCTTAAATGCATTATTGTTCTTCATGGTCTTGGCATCTTTGCCAACAGAGAATGTGGGAGGGATAAAGGTTGCCGGCCCGGGGCCATAGCTAGTCATACTTTCGAACTTTAAGCCGGCAGCCGGTTTGGAGATTGTGCTTTGCGTTTGGAGGCGGGCCAGCCCATGTATAGTCCCCCTTAAGTAGATAGAATCTATCTACTTACGGGGGACTATAGATTTCGAGAACTGGCTTTCGACAGATGGCCACGCTCAATCAAGGAGATCTTTCTGCGCATGTACGTGCTGGGCTGGAGTGGCTACTGGCATGGCTCAGAACAAAAGTGGAACTGGTGGCTGGGATAAATCATTGTTGACCTGTTGGCCTTGGGGGAGATAAGCTGATGGGATGGCGTTCAGTTTTAGGTGTACCCACGCTAGCAGGCATCAGGCGTTTTTATTCATCTTATTCGGCAGGATTGATTGGGCATACGACACGATGTGAGGGTTCCACGGCTTCGTAAATGCTTTGTACGCGGTGAATCTAGCCCTGATTGAAGCATGAGTGCTTTAGCTCCTTTGCCGGCTTGGTGCCAACATGATCTGCTGTGAGTTTTGGCATTGAGGGCTAGCACGGGCAAACACCTTGCTGCGACCCTTCAGACCCTGCAGAATCTTAATGTATGCCAAAGACCTTTTCAATCCTAGTCGCTCCTGTCTTGGCCTCAGGTTTGATATCTTTTTGCTTGCGATCAGCACGCTTCTTGGTTTTCATTGGAAAGGACGTTTGCCCATTGAACTGTATTGGATCATACTGTCAAGGAAGACTTGCAGCCGTGCCCCTCGAACCTAAGCTCCAAAGCCTAAACAAAAACCTTTAAGCTTTGGGCGAGCATTCCGAACGTGCGAGGCACTTCTGAATGTTCAGTAGACCCATACATGTAGTAGTCAAGTGCGCGTTCACAGAACCCTAACCGCATCGAAAGAAAGAAAGAAAGAAAACGAAAACTTCGGCAATTGCAATTACATACGTGGGGACGGTCATGTAGTTTGGTGGCGAAGTGTTGCTAGTAGAGTGCAATCCTGCCTTCGGCCGATGCGCCGCAGCCCAAGAGAAAAGATCTTCGAAAAGGAGGGGGGGCCAATCCACATCAAAGCCTTTTTCTTGATTGTCCCGTAAATAGGGCCCGCATGTTATGCCCCGCGCGTTATTTTGTGATAGATGACCGGGAGCCCTAGCTCAAGTGCGCGTTGTGAGTCAGCGCGTTTTCCCCCCAAAGCCCGAAGCCTTTCCTCCACACTCTGCTCTGCTACACCTTCTCAAATTTCTCGAGGAGTAGAAAAGCTGCACAAGGGAAAACAACTGCTGGGAACAAGAAAAACGAAGCCGAAGGATTGACATTGTTGTCCATCTGGCTGGCAGCCCGACCGATATCTCCAGCGCTTCCCTCCTTAGGCGCGAATTCCCGGTTCAGCTTTTCATGTTGTTGTACCATTTGAGAGCTTAGAGCTCATGACTTCCGATTTCAAGAGCAGTAGGCGTAGTGCAAGCTTTAGTGTTTGGGACACGGGTTCAGGGTTCCGGTGTCTACACCTCCCTTCCCAGGCTCTGCCGGCTCATCCGCTTGGTCCGCATCGTCAAGGTCGATGCCTTATTCAGATGGAGGTGAGATGAGCAGCTGCTGTTGGTTTGTCAGGACGGTGAAGTAAGACGTTGACAACGGCATGCGCTGCCTTGCTATTCAGAGAGAAGACAATCTGACTCTACACAAGCCAACGAAGCTGTCGCAGTAAGAAGTCCATCCATTCGAGGAGTTACGAGCCTACACTTGACAGGAGTGGTATAGCCAGTTTGGGTGCCAGCGCTGGAGGTTTCAGCGCAGATTAGCAAGCGGCGTCAGTGGGAGTGGCATACACATTGTCACAACCACCCACCGGTAGCACTAGTCGTAATAGCTGTAGCATCAAGAGGAGGAGCAATGTTAGTTTGGGTGTGCACAAGTATCAGCGCGAATTTCAATCTCTGATGCACAGTTTTCACAAGATGCAGAAGTAAATAGCATCTTGTCACTCCAGTCCAGTTGTTTGCTTGTGGTTCATGACCAGACGTAGTTGCCAAGGTCTTCCGGGTCAAGATGATGAGGGACCTGCGTTTGATGGTGAAAGGTTTGTTGGCCGGTGTTCGGACATTGCTTTTGGCCTTTGTATTACTATTTGCGGTGCTTTATGTGATCGCGGGCTTCGCCACCATGACCATTGGCAGCGCTGAACGGACGGTCGAGATGGGTTTTCACGGCTATTTTGACACTTGCTTTCAGTCACATCAGGTGATGCTAGAATCGCTATAACAAGGCCGAGAAAGACAAAGGTTGTGGGAGGTACGTTTTCGGTGCATGGCCAGAACATGAGAACATGTGCCAATTGACATAATTGTTTTCCCAGATGGGTACAACAAGACGTCCTTGCTAAGGACAACATCCCTACGTCCATGTTCACCGCATTCAGGTGCTTCACAGGCGGGAGTGTGAGAGTCTTCTGCCAGCTGGAGTATGTGTTAGGCACCCCTTACGCTATTTCTTTTTGTCATGGCTAGTAGTACTGGCAGATCGTCGTGGTTGGTCCCAGTACCAATACCATTGATAATAACAGCAGTTGTAAAAATCCTCCTGGCCTTCAGAGTCCGGCATGAAAATCACTGCGAAACAAAGCGATGCTTCTTGTTCCTCAAACCCTCGATCTGAAGAGCCTATATCGTCCGGTATCCAGCCTTCGGCCTGATGTTTGCATATCTGAAGCCAACCCTGACCGCACGAACCCTACACTCGAGTGGTTGCTGCACAAATAGCACAAACTTCCAGCTGGCTAGGCGAGTGCATTAATGATGACGGTCGGCCGCTGCAAACCATGCTTGCCACGGAGTATGGCTTCATTTTTGTCTTCTTCTACGTTGCTTTGGTTGGCTTGAGCATTACTCTTGATTTTGTAGGGTGAACCATGCAAGTGAAACAAAATTACCGTAAGTCCAGCAAAGGTTGCCAGCTACATGCTGGTGACAATGGGAATCTTCAACGTCATCCTGGCAGTCTATGTGGGAGGGTTTAAAATGCTGCGCTGGTTGGGGCGGTCTGAAAATTCCTTCGCCTGATTCCTTGAGTTGCCCAGTAGTTCAACGGAAATGGGCTGCTTGAAGGTAAGCTGCAAACGCTCAACATTTGAGGATTTGAAGGGTCTTGGACGGATGCAAAGAAAAACTTCCTTCGCTGAAGTCCAACATGCGTTCCACACGGAGCCTCATGTCACTGTCCGAAATGTATATCATTTTGTTATTTGCGAGCCATCATGACTGCAAGGCATCAATGTAGAATCTAGTCCTCAGATGCGTTGCGCGCCTTAGAATTCGCTGCGAAGGACGAGTGAGGTCCTCAGCCTGATTTGCCTACGGTCCTAGAGTCGGCACGGCCGCCATTTCAAAGCACAATGCGTTGCTGGTTTTGAAGCCAATAGCACAACCTCGCAAATCATGCCGTAGGACTATGTGCTTCATTTGCCCCTGCACATGCAACATGTGGGAATATCGGACCTCGAGTCAACACAGGTGGACATCACCATGAAAGCGGCAAAGGAAAGCGATGCGCAGGGTGCGGACCAGAATAAGCGGGAATCCATCCGAGTGGCCCGGACCACCCGGGAGCTGATCAAGATCTTCAGCGCAGCATACAATGCTTTTCGCGAACCTGGGATTTGTTTGCTGACTATTGTAAAGACACGCCAACAGATGGGCACAGCCGTTGTCTCCTTGTTGAGGAAGCTGTTGAGATTGGTTTGGAGTTTCCTGTCTCATCCCATCTCATCACAGGACCAGAGCAGCGCTGACGAGGAGCAGCCCATAAAGCCAATCTCTGCATCCGAATTCATGGAGGATGGCATGACGGACCAGGTGAGCTGCTGGTAGTGATAAGAGTTTCCGATAAGTGCCGTTTCCCTAAAAGTGCCGTTTCCCTAAAAGTCTAACATGTGTCTGATGTGTCTGCCATTCTGGCCGCGGAGATCACTGTAATATATGTTTCTGCTTTACATCATGTAAGCTAGGGTGGTCCGTCTTCCGAATTCAAATGCCTTAGCAGTTGGGCATTTGACTTTCCAACACCTACTGAGCCCTCAGGCTCTGGCATGGGTGATCTATTGTCACCTATCCCCATTCACCGGCTACTTCTTCCATCAATTATCGTGACCATCGTCATCCCAGCTTTGGCCTGAGCATCAGCATCATCTATTCTCAGCCATGGAGTATCTGTTGCTCATCATTTTTCCTAGCCGCCAGATTATCAGCCCAGTTCTTTTTGTTTCAAGTTTCTGCATGCATCATCGGGCCTTCCGTGCTGCTGATGTCTTTTCGAAATCACACTCGCCATTGCAATCATCATCATCATCATCAGCGGCGGCAGCAGCAGCAGCATCATGTGCACTACCTTGACCACTAAGCATTTCTCGTGTCGTCCCACTACGCACTTACGGAAGTGTCACTCTCAGCATCAACATTGACAGTAGCATCAGTATGCCTCAGCTTGCTGCTATTGTGTGCAATCCTCTTCTTTTCTCAGCCTGCCTCCCATCATAACCATGTTCTATTGTACCAGCTATTATGGCCATTCTCGCAGCAGCATCCATCTTGGGCTTTCCACCATGCGTTCATGTTCGTCCTAGTTTTCTGTAGTCATTCCTGGTGTTACCACCATCAAAACCACATGCTGATGGTATTGATGACATGGATGTTGCCAGCCAGGTGGTCGTCCGTATCCAGACCGTTTTCGTTGCGGCAGTCATTGCTTCTCATCATCGCCAAGAGTATATGTTGAAATCTTCCTTTGTGTCACTTGTATTAATTTCTCGTGATATTTCATCATCCGTCATCACTTTATTGAATTCGCATCATCATGATTCATCGTATTGCATAATCCATCACACTGCATTAGGATAGATAGCTCATGATGTTTAAAGTTGCTGTTCATGTTTCACCTTGTTTCCATCACAAGCTGCAATGTTGGGTCACATTTCTTCATGTTTCATGATTTGCGCATTTTCCGCCACTGTGCAGCAGGTTTAATATTTTCTCCTTATGCTTTCACAATTCTAAACATTTGGTCATGAATTTCTTATCACTGCTTCCTGCTCCCTGCTTTCAGCCTTGTTGCCATTTGCTTCTTCTTTGCTGTTATTTTGGCTTCTTGGGGGCTCGTGGGGTTGGGGCTCGCAATCCTCGGAACTGTCGTTGCTTCTGGCGTTTCGGATCCTCCTGGACAGAGACAAAGAAAGAAAGTAGCAAGGAAAGCAGAAAGCCGAAAAGAAAAAACGAAACAAAAAATTGAAAGATGGCTGGCAAACCCTGAGCTTTAAGACAAAAAGTTGGCTGGCAAGCTTTCAACCTTGAAAGGAGATGTTGGCTCGCAAACTCTGAACCCTAAACGGACACGATGACTGGCAAACTCTAAGCCCTCACTGCTAGCAGCAAGTGAGTGGGGGGAACCCCTATGAGAACATATACATGTCCACTGTTTGCAGCAAGGGAGGCTTATGCAGATCATTTGCTGTGCAAATGGGGTGGCTGAGCCCCCCAACCCCCCTGCTTTTTAAGGCCATCCATGCTCGCAATAAATAACCATCATGTCATCACCATGTTTGCAGGAAAGGAAGGTTGTGCGGATCATTCTGCTTTCAAATGGGGGGCTGCGCCCCCCAACCCCCCTGCTTCTTCTAGGCCATGCATGCTTGCAACAAAAAAGAAGCACCGCCATATCATCACCATGCTCGCAGTAACGGAAGGTCATGCGGATCATGTTGTTTGCAAATGGGGGAGGCTGCCGCCCCCTAACCCCCTTGCTTTTCACGGCCATCCATGCTTGCAATAAAAAACAATCATGTCATCACCATGTTTCCAGGAATTTTGTGCGGCTGATTTTGTTTGCAAATCGAGGGCTGTGCCCCCCCCAACCCCCCTGCTTTTTCTAGGCCATCCAGGCTTGCAATAAAAAAGAAGCACCATGTCATCACCATGCTTGCAGTAAGGGAAGGTTGTGCCGATCATGATGTTTGCAAATGGGGGGCGCTGCGCCCAAATCCTGTCATCACCATGTTTGCAGTAGGCGAAGGGAACATCCTCACTGTTCTACCCTCACTGGTGCGGAACGGCTTCACATGTTTGCTCAAAATCGAGCCCTGGCGTGGAACTTCTGCACATTTGTATTCAAAATCGAGCTTTGGTCGGTGTGCGTTTTTACTTGAGCTCTGGTGCGGAGCGTCCTCACATCCCTCCTCAAAATCGAGCTCTGGCGTGGAAAGTCCTCCCGTTATCTGTCAAAATCGAGCCCTGGCATGGAACGCTCTCACATTTGTACTCAAATTTTAGCTCTAGCGTGGAGCGTCATATTCTCAAAATCGAATCTGACATCAAAGGTCCTGGCCTTTTTACTCAAAGCCAGGCCTTGGCATGGAACGCCATCCCAGTTAAAGGATAAAAATGAAAAGCTTCCCCAAATAATTCCGGACCCGAGACCCTACTTGTGATGTTTCCCGTGGCCCATGCACATTCAGCTCACTCTCGTTTTCGGCTAGTTCAGTTTCAGAAGCTGTTGGGGCTCGGGGCACGAGGGAAGTGGAAGAGCAAAGAAAAGACAGCAACAAAGGGACTTTGTGAAACCACTATTCAGGTGCATATCACGAAGGAACTCTTCCTGTTGGTGATCCAGGACGGGTAGAATTCTGGGTTCTCCTCGGGCTCAGGAGCAAGATAGGGCTTCATGGCGGTAACTGATTTTGTGAGCTTACCAGCTACAGGTTTCGTTCCGGGCTTACATGACGTTTTTTCAAGGGGCACTGTTGCTAAAGACCTGCAACTTCTGGGGATCATCCAAGCTGAAATACCAGGTAGGCAATGAGAGGCTTTCTTGATGGCAAGCATTCAGGACCGGCATGTTCAAAAACTGATGGATGACTTGGACTTACCTCCAGACCGGGCAAACCTGTTTGAGATGCTGCTCAGCTGTGAGTGTGACATCGCTGGCAACCTACGGTTTTGAGTAGGATTGTTAGGGGCAGAGAACTTCAGTCAGCCCAGGCTGCTTGACCTTTTGAGTCGACAGTTGTGCCCCAGCAGATAGAGATATGTGTGTTGGACAACAGGTTGACGCAGAATTTGGAATCAATGTCCAGTGCAAAGATTCTTTCGGATATTTTGCAGCGTGGACACATGTCTTGAAAAAAAATATCTCGACATTGTTTTTGCCGCTGTTTTCCCACGCATTGCTCGCGAAGGGTTTGCAGATCAATGTCCCACACCCTGGGCGCGAAAGCTGTGCAGATGGAGCCTTCTCAGTTTGAGTGGTGGTCCCCAAACCCCCAAAACTTAGGCCCAAAACTTGAGATTTCCCTAGCGCGAGGGGAGTAAGCAAACTGTGAGCCGCTACATTGTGAAGCTCAAAAGATTCGCTTTGCGCTGTTTCCACCCCGTTTACCTAGGCATCTGTCTTCTTTATTGTGCGCGGTTTGCACGTCACTGATGCGCAAACCATCTGCACACATTGGAAAAGTAACATGCATGGGAAAACGGCGCAAAAGCCGTGCAGGTAGAATCTTTTTCAGCTTAAAGGCATCCAAAAGCTCGGTGTGAAGACCTAGAACCTGAGATTTTTGTAGGAAAATGTTGGAAGGAAAAGTGGCCTCTAGCAATTCGAACCTGTAAGAATTATATCTGCATTGCTTCTAGGCCTTCTTCCCAGACATGTTGCTATTTACAGGTCAAACCTGATAGGAGTCGCAGACGCGACACGTCATTCTCAACGACTAAAAGCATCACACACGACACGACACGCAGAAAACACGACTGGACACTCCACTCTCCGTTCTCCACTGATCCGCTCTCCACTCTATGCCCTCTCCAGACTCCACTCTCCACTCTATTCTGTATTTCACTTTCCATTCACTTTCCCCTTCACTCTTCATGCTCAACTCTCCACACACCACTTCAATCTCTCCATTGTTCACTCCACACCCCAATGTCCATTCCACACTCCACTCTGGCACTCTCCATTCTCTACACTTCACTCGACTGTCAACTCCACACCCCACACACACCTCACTCCATTTTCCACACTCCACCCCGCTCTCCATTCCACACTCCGCTGCACTTGCCGCCCCGACACGAAGTTCATTTTACGTGGGACTCTCAAAAAGACGCCTTCGTGCTGCGAAGCTGCAAAACATTGAATCTGCACTTCTTCCAAGCAATTTTCCTTGGCATGTTGCTTGCTGCAGTGTGTGCGCCCAGGGGGCTTGCACTTCACGAAAACTGCGCAAATATCGAGCCTTTTCAGTTTGAGGGGTCCGAAAAACCCCGAACCTGAGGTCTTCCTAGAAGTACTTCTTCGAAGTGGAATGCAAAAAATATTGTTTTTGCTCAATTTGCTAAGAAAAAATGTCCTTTCTACGGGCACGTTGCCGTTTTTACTATTGTGCGTGAAGGGGCTGCGCATCACTGATGCGCATACAAAAGCAACATGTCTAGGAAAAGCGCCAAAAACCAGCACGGATAGAAAAATCCGAGCGAGCGGCACAGGTAGAATGCTCGCAGCAACGAAGAAATTATCTGCCCTGCAAATTGTCTAAAGGCTCTTCAAGCCGCTGTGCGACGTGAAAACCTTCAACATCAATGGATCCAGTAGCCCAAACCCTTAGTCATTTCCACCCTAAACCTTTCAACCTGAGGCTTCAGTTAAGGTCCTTGTGACACCCTTCAAAGCAAGCAATGCCCTCAACACCGTGCTGGGTGCCACAAGGTTGGATGGTGACGGCAGCGGAACGCTGCAGACGGCTGAGCTGCTCCAAGGGCTCCTGAAGGTCAGGGGCGAGGTGCGCTTTTTAGGGTAAGTTCCAGGGCTTCAGGTGGTAGACCTCAACGTTGAGGGTTTCAAAGAAGGAGCCGTGCTTTTCAGAGGATTTTTTGTTCGTTTGAGTATTAGATCGGAGGCCTTCAGGCCAATGCTGACTGCATGTGCATTTTAAGGTACGATTGGCGTGCTCAGGGTTATAGAGTTCAGAGTTTTGGAAGCAGGTCAGATTATTTACATGGTGTCTGATCAGACCGGGCTCGACTATGGGTGATCCAGATTTCATACCCTTTTTGTTTTAGGTTGAGAGTACTTGCTTCTTTCTTTGAGGATTCGTGGCCATGCAGCTTCCATGAAAGGTATTAGTTAAGTTTCTACCTCCAGCCTCAAGCCCTGCCAGGTTAACAAAAGCGACACCGTGGCGAATTTGTTGGCCACAAAGGCTGTGCAAAACTTAGTCAGCGACTACCAAGACCAGAATGCCCACGCCTTTCAGTCCCTGAGCCAGGGCCTCTTGTTTTGATTGATGTTATGGATGTTGGGCCGGTTGAGGTTTTGGTTCCAAGCCTTCATTCACATGCACTTCTCGTGCCTTTTGAGTATGTAAGGGTATGATTTCAGAGCATGTTTTTAATTTCCGAAAGCCGTATTTCTATTGCCGCTTCCCCAATACCTAACTCACCTGTAAACAACGAAGTGAACTTGTCCAGCCAAGGCATTGCGCTTTTAAGGGCAGAGGTCGGCACCATGAGAAAAGCTGAGAGTGAGGGCAATCGTCAGCACTCTGAGACATGTTTTTCACCCCACCCCCGACAGATCCCTCTAGGGGACTAGGGCGGTAGTATATATACTCCAAAAATGGAGCTTTTGAAAAAATGTTGACAACCAATCTCCGCCTGGAGTGTGGGCCCCGTCTCAAAAAACTAGAAATAGGGCATGCTTAGTGGTTGAGGGGAAAGAAGGAAATTTCATTCAGGAATCCTGGACCGAACGATTCACTACAACACTGCTTGGGTAAGTCTGGCGAGTTTGTAAGAAGTATCGGGTCACATTCTTGTTTCGTTCATGTGCAACGTTTGAGGTGGCATGACAGAACACCATAAAACGAGACAGGATCCGCATTCCACGGAATCAAGTAGCCGGTCCAATGCTTCCAACAGGGCAAAGTCTTTATATCAAGAGCGTAGTAAAAAGCTGAGCTGTTGCTTGCTTCGTGGGGCTAGGGCTTGGAACATGTTGAGGGGCACTGCCCGTCACAGGGATGGGATGCATTCAGGTAGCTAGGTTAGTTGTAACTTGTGTTTTTGTTTAGTTGTATTTTTCTAGCAGGCGCAGCAATTTGGGCATCATTTCTGATCCCAGTCCCTCAGGGTTTCCCCAGCATGGCATGGGGTGTGAGCGGTCACAAGGATGGTGGCTGCCCAGCCCGCGGTCCTCGTAACTGTCGTTGTTTTCGATGTCGCAATTCTCAAATGTGCCAGCAGTGACAAGGATGGTGAGTGTCCTTGTCACGATCTGCGTGAGACAGACCCTAAAGACCCTAAATCCTACAACCTTCAAACCTTAAGCACTCTAAACCCTAGAACCTAAACCCTGCAATCCCTCAACCCTTAAGATCCTAAGAAACGTTAAAATCCTAAGAACTTTATGCCTTGAAAAAAAAAAACCTCAATCCCAAAACAAACGAACCCCAAAAACCCTGAACCCTAAATCCCCTCTCAAACTCCAAAAACCTAAACGCAAGAAACACCAAACCCTAAAGATAATGATGACCCTAAATGTTAGAGGCTCCGCCGAGGTGCGCCAGCGCAGCTATCCATTCAAAAGGTGGTTTGACAGCAGCTTGGCAGATTCATCAGGGAAATTCAACCA